GCGCCCTGACGTTCTCGTGACAGACGGCCAGGTAGGACACGGCGCTTCGAAGTCGACCGTCGACGCTCGGACTATGTACGATCGTGACGGCGAGCGCTTCCTCGGTCATGACGGACCTGACGTGGAGTACGCCTTCCCGATTTCTGAACACCAGACATTCGTCCAAGTCCACCGCGACCGGGTATCCGTCGTGACACGTAGTCGCGACGAACCCGTATATCCACACCGATCTGATGACGTCGCGAACGAACCGGTCGAGGTGCGCTTCGTATCGTTCGCAGAACGCGGCGACCACGTCCTCCGACGGCCAGGGCATCTCCACCTTCGACTCTCCGTGCACGACGGTGCCCACGTTCGAGCGCATACCGTGCTCGAACATGGCTCGCACCGATATCGCCTTGCTCAATCTCGTCAGGATGCACATGCACATCGGTAGTTCGTCGAAAGTCTTCCTGACAAGTCGACATTGCTCCTCGTCCAGGAGATAGAGTTCGGCATTCTTGAATTCCTCGTTCACCCTACGCATGCAAGCGTCGCGCCTGTTCGCCACGTGGCGAACGTACTCCCTTTAGTCGGGGAACATTAGCGTCGCGTTCCCTTAACGTGTGCACGTCCGAGATGAACGTTTCGCTGTCCGCGGTGATCCTTTTCACACTACTATCCATAGTTTTCCAACACATGGGCAAGACGTACGCGTCGCGTCGTGCGTTATTGGCCACGGGCGACCTCGTCGTGTTGCCGGCCGGCAAATCTATCGGAACGAACGTGATATCCGGAGATTCGGAATATGAGTTACCTATCAGGGTAGCTAAAGATTCTTGATGGACGCGTGGAGATCGTTCGTCGCTTCGCTACCTCCGGGTTTGCACTGTCGGAGAGTAGAACCGGTCATGATAGACGACGACATGTTCGGAGGAACGTTGGTCACGGACGGCAGGACCGAGATCGATCTCACGAAACTGGAGGGACTCGCCGCGACTACGGGAATGGCCGTACACGTCCACAAACCGAAATCCGCAAACAAGAAGATCTC